GGGCCCGCGTTGCTATGGCAGCGTGACGCCGAGAAGGAGGGCCGGAAAATGACGCACGGCTACTTCCGCCCAGCAGCACTTCCGGGTCGGAAGAAAGGTGGCGGAGCCTCTCGAGGGTAGGTCGGAGCACTCCTACAGCCGGGTTGCGGCGGGCCCTGTTCCTGGGGGAGCTGGCGCTGTCTCCGCCGCCGCCCCCCGCCGGGAGAGGGGACCCGGGGAGCAGTGAGAGTCCGGACGCCTGGTCTAACGGGCGGCTTGTCCAAGGCCCCGAGAGTCAGGGACACCGTCCTAGGAGCTGACAGTAGGCAGGGCGTCTGAAACCGCGGAGAAGCGGGAGACAGGGAGGGCGCGGGCCAGCCGGATCGCCGGAAACGAAGAGCATTATTGCTGGGAAGTTCGGCTTTACCTTTTTTTTTAAAGAGAGAGATTTTTGCCATGGGGCGTGTGCGCCCCCAGAGAAACTGAAAGCAGAAATCACCCGGCAGGGCCATGACCACGCTGGAATCCCTTCTCCGTTCTCTTGGATTTTAGGCACTGCCCGCCCATGCTACCCGCGGGAGTTTCAAACCTGGGACTCCAGGACTCCAACCGGGGTTCACTTTGTGTGAGTTCTATGAGGTAACTGTTATGTCATCTGCTGATCCTGAGAAGTTTGACATTCTCTTAAGAATAAGGGGGAAGGAGATACAGCGGATTACGGAATGGTTACGTCACTGGACTCCCATGTAGTCCACTGCGGTTCAAGCCCCCGACCTGGCACCTTAAAACTCACACCAGGTGCATGTGCATGCGCATGCGTGCCCAAAATGCCGAGAGAAGAATGGAGGAGACAGGATTGCAGTGTGGCCATCCCCCCGGGGGTGATTTCTCATTTTCTGTCTCTCTGTATCTAGTGAGCACATGAGCCCTATAGCAAAAATCTCTCTTAAAGAAAAGAATAAGGGGGCTCCATGAAAGGTTTTATTATAGTAGGGAGTAATTGTATAGTTAGAAGCTCGCATGATGGTCCTGATTTATGGTTCTACTTACCATTTTTCTCTTTATGGTAGGTTTAAAAGGGTATTAAATGCATTTTCAATTTAAAATGTTTAAAACCTATGGTAACCATGGGCCATCCCCCCTGAGAGGTTATTTCTCACTTTCCCTTTCTCTCTTTGTTTTTCTTTGCTCTCTTTAGCAAGCACATGTGCCCATTAGTAAAAAGCTTTAAAAAAAAAAAAAAAGAAAAGAAAAAACAGTATTTGAAGAATCACTTTCTCTGTTCATTGCTGTTAAGAGGCCCTGAAAGATGAACCTAAATAGTTCAATTGGAGTTCGAGTCCCGGACACGGCAGCCTAAACTCAACACTGGGCGCGTGTGTGTGTGCCCAAGAACCCGAGAGGAGAATGGAGGACATGGGATTGTGGCGTGGCCATCCTCCCCAGGGGATGATTTCTCGCTTTCTCTCTGTCTCTGTCTCTTTGGCGAGCACATGTGTCCTAAGCAAAAATCTCTCTCAAAGATAAAAAGAAGTATGTGTAAGGTGTGCAAATGGAAAGAGCAGTCTTCTCTCAGGAGGGGAGGAAGGAGGACGGTTGGATGGGACTTCCGAGTTAGCAGGTAGAGGCTGGCTGCATTTCTTGTTTAAGTCAAAGAACCTAAAGATCTTTGGTGTTGCTAGTATGAAGCCAGTGCGCGTGGGAGAGGCCGAACGGGAACAGAGGTGGAGTGGCTCCCCATCGCCCTGAGAGGATTGAGATCCGGAACTCACCCGAAGGCAGTGGCCTTTGACAAAAAGGACTCGACCCCCGGGGGGGTGATTTCTCTCTTTCTGTCTCTGTCCCTCTGTCTTTATGGCGAGCACAGGCACCCTTTAGCAAAAACCTCTCCAAAAAAAAGAAAAGAAAAAACCTCTCCAAAAGAAAAAAAAAAAAAAAAGGATAATATACAATTTGTTGTCATGATTCCAGGCTTGTTGTTTGTCATACAGTTTCATTTTGCTATGATTTTCCCCCTGAGGCTAATGTTTAAAATGCAAAAATAAACCATCGTTGTCACATTTCCCTATAGGAATAAAATGGATGGTGAATCAAGCAGATTTGAAATCCACACTCCCGTTTTTGACAAGAAAAAGAAAAAGTATTCTGTATGTAAGGAAAGACATCAGAAACATTCCCATGAAAGTCGTGGAAACTCGTCATCTCTGGCAAGTGAACAGCCTCAAAAAACTAAGAGTAAAAAGAAGAAAAAGGATTTCCAGAACCTTATTTCTATGAAAAAACCAGACATCTTTGATGAGACCGAAAAGGCCACTTCTACACCCAAAAAGATTAAAAGGAGACGAAACTGTGCTTTGGGAGTAGACAAGGAAACAGGGGTTGCGTATGTTCTAGTGGATAAAGAAAATATTGAGAATGTGTCAAAGAATCTCAGGAAGGACGTGGATGTCGTTTACGTGAACATGAGCAAGGAGCCTAAAGCAGACGAACTGCGAGTAGTTGCTAATTCGCGTGGCGATGAATCAGAAGAGCTACAGGATAAGGTCAGGAAAAAAAAGAACAAGAACCATCCGAGGAAAGTTGCATCGCATGACGCTGCACAGAAAAACTGGCATGCAGGCCCTTCCCCACCCCAGTCAGAATCACCTGAGCAGGGGTCTGTCCAGCA